GATTTTTCTGTTTCTAGAGGTCATCTTATATCACTATGAATTTCCTTCCCTTTTAGAACTATTTTTGTTGCATTCAATAGATTTTGGTACATTGTATTTTCATTTGTTTCAAGGAATTTTTTTATTTCTCCTTTGATTGTTTCATTGATTCATTTACTGTTCAGTAGCATGTTGTTTAATCTCCACATATTTAAGACTTTTCCAGTTTTCTTCTTATTCTTATTGTATCTGATTTCTAGTTTCATACCATGGGTTCAGGAAAAAAATGCTTCCTTTGACTTCAATCTCCTTTACCTTATTGAGATTTGCTATGCGGCCTAACATATGATCTATCCTTGAGAAGAATGTGTATTCTGCTACTTTTGGATAGAATGCTCTGTATATATGTATTCACTGCATCTGGTCTAATGTGCTAAGGCCAATGCTTCCTTCTTGATTTTCTCTGTGAATGATCTATCCACTGATGTAAGTGAAATGATAACGTCCCATAGTATTATTGTGTTACTTCCTACTTCTCCCTTTAGGTCTGTTAATATTTGTTTTACATATTTAGGTGCTCCTATTACTCACTGGAAAAGACCCTTGGGGGGGATTGGGGGCAGGAGGAGAAGGGGACGACAGAGGATGAGATGGCTGGATGGCATCACCGAGTCGATGGACATGAGTTTGAGTGAACTCCAGGAGTTGGTGATGGACAGGGAGGCCTGGCGTGCTGTGGTTCATGGGGTCACAAAGAGTTGGACACGACTGAGTGACTGAACTGAACTGAACTGATGTTGAGTGCATAAATATTTATTAATGCAAATGTTATATTCTCTTGCTGGATTTATCCCTTTCTCATTATGTAACGCCTGTCTTTGTCTCTTATTATCATCTTTGTTTTAAAGCCTATTTTGTCTGATATAAGCATAGTTACCCCAGCTTTCTTTTTGTTTCCATTTATGTGAAGCATCATTTCCATTCCTTCACTTTCAGTCTCTGTGCCATTACATTTACCATGAGTTTCTCTTGTAGGTAGTATGAAGATAGGTCTTGTTTATTTATCCATTCAGCCATTCTATGTATTTTGATTGGAAGATTTAGTCCATGTACAAACTAATTATCAATGGTTATGTACTTATTGCTGTTTTGTTAATTGCTTTCTGACTGTTTTGTAGTTCTTTGTGTTTTCATCTTCTCCTCTTCTCTTTCCTTGTGTTCTAGTGGTTTCTTAATGATTAAATTCCTTTCTCATTCATTACCTTTTTGTGTATCTACTATAGGCTTTTGCTTCATGGTTAGCATGAGGTTCACATGACAGCCTAAACATAGAATGGTCTATTTAAGTTGATAACAAGTTTGAGCATATTCTAAAACTCTGTTTTTACTACCCACCCATGTATTTTCTTTTTGATGTCACAGTTTATATCTTTTTATTTCGTGTATCCCTTAATTATTATAGCTTTTTTAAACTACCTTTATCTTTTAACCATATAAGCTTTATAAATGACTAAGAAATACCTTTACTATATATTTACCTTCACTGATAGAATTTTTACTTTCATATAATTTTATTACTAATTACTACTCTTTGCAGTCCATTTACACTTCCTGTAAGACCATTTTAGTGGTATGAACTTTAGCTTTTGTGTGTCTGGAAACCATCTTTCCTTTGATTCTGAATGACACTCTTGCTGGGCAGATTATTCTTGTTTGGAAATTTTTCCCTTTCAGCACTTTGAATATATCATGTCACTCTCTTCTGACCTGCAAAGCTTCTACTGAAAAATCTTCTGAAAGTCTTATGGGGTTGTCCCAGTGCACAAGTTGTTTTACGCTTGCAGCTTTTAAGATTCTCTCTTTAAGTCATGACATTTTAATGATAACATGTCTAGGTGTGGATCTTTCGGGGTTCATCTTTTTGGAATTCTCTGGATCTGAATCTGGATGTCTATTTCCTTCCCCAGCTTTATAAAGCTTTTAGCCATTATTTCTTCAAATAAGTTTTCTGCCCCTTTCTCTTTTCCTTTCCCTTCTGGACTCTGTAATGCAAATGTTATTTTGCTTGAAGTTGTCCCATAGGGAGCCATCTTCACTTTTTGGCATTATTTTTCTTCTTTTTCCTGCTCTCTTTGAGTGAATTCTACTGCCCTGTCTCCAGATCACTGATTCTTTCTCCTGCTTCAGTTAGTCCACCGTTGAATTCCTCTAGTGTATTTTCCAGTTCAGTTATTGTATTCTTCAGCTATGTGACATTTTATATTTTCATCTCTTTGTTGAAATTCTCACTGTGTTCATCCATTCTTCTCTGAGTTTGGTGAGCATCTTTATGACATTCCTTTGAACTCTTCACATAATCAATTATTATTTTTACTTCATCAAGGGTTTCCCGACCCCCCCCCCCTCCCGGGTGTTTTTCTTATTCCTTTATTTGAAACATATTCTTCTGTTTCTTCATTCTGCCTGTTTCTATTTGTTTCTATGCATTAGTCAAAACAGCTACCTTTTTCAGTCCTGACGGAGAGACTTTGTGCAGGGGATGAAACTTCTTGCTCAACCTTGCCCAGGGTCTTGATTTTCTCTTGACAGATTGAATTTGTTAAGTGTGCTGAATGTCTGTGTTCCCAAGGGAGGACCTCAGCACCTAGTTTCAGGCTGATTGGGTTAGATCCTCAGGCAGAAGCTTTAAAAGTATGAAAATATACATCATCCTCTGAGACTTCAGTTGTAATCTCTGCAGACCTCTAGACCAGCCAATTTGGAGGTATCCCTCTGGTGACAGTTGCAAAAACCAGGGCTTTCGATGATCTACGAGCTCTTCACTGGGCGGTACTAATGAGCTCTAGCACAGCCAAGGAAGAGCAAACACAAGGAAGGGATCCCTCTTCAGCCCACAGATGTGCAGCAAACCTGAAGCCTGCCCTTCAGGTCGAAGCTCTCGACGCGTAGGTGGATATTTGTCACGGGAAGATCTGGCGTGTGTTCCACTCTGTGCTGTGCCGTGCCTTAGGGGTCGTGGCTCTCGGATTGTTTTAGTCCCATGGGGCCCAGAAACACCAGTTCCCCTGGCCACCAGAGCAGGCAGTCGTGGAGTACGCACGAGTGACTTTTAGGGCAGTGGACAACTGAAGGAGTGGGGTGTGCCCGTCAGCAGTAGCTAAGGGGAGCACAAAAATGGTGCCCACAGGCCTCTCAGCCCCTGGAGAGGCCCCCTCCCCGGCTTCTGTCCCTTCAGCAGATACTTTAAGATTAGCTAATAAATCTGCACGTATGTTCTAGGCACTTTTCAAACTACTGCTTGAACAGTTGGTCCCAGGGTGTCTAGGTCTGCAGCTGAGCCTGTTAAGAGTGGCATTTCTGTCCCTACAGCCGTTTGAGTCTTCCGGATGCAAGACCCTTTGACTTTCAAAGTCAGATGTTAGAGGGGCTTGTCTCTCGGGTGAGGTCTCAGGAACTGGGGTCCTGGTGCTGAACACGAGCCCCTTCACTCTTCAGGAAGACGCTCCATATGCTCGCTGGACTTCCAGGTGCCGGCTTCCACACCGGCAGTGTGGTTTTGGAGAGACCATATCTCTGCCTCATCTACCTTCTTGATGTGGGCCTTTTATCCTTTTTTTAGGAAGGAGCTGTTCAGCTAGTATTCTGCTCTGTTTTCGAGGAAATTGTTCCTTATGCAGCTGTGGATTTGGTGTTCCCATGGGAGCAGGTGAATTCAGACTTTTCCTACACAGTCATCTTGAAACACACCTTGCACAATTCTACTTCAAACTAGAATGTTATTTGCCATCTAACAGTGATTTAATATTCCTCTATGGGTTTTTTTTCTCCAATAAAGAATAGTTTAAGTTAAAAAAAGATAAATTTCTTTGAGTTGTTAGCCTTACCAAGATACCTAACTAGACAACATTGCCACCTGGTGGTCCAAACAAACTGCGGCCATCACCTTTGGGGTGGGAGCTGGGGTCTGAGGGGTGTGCCTAGGAAATGCATGTTAACTGTGATGCCAAAATCACACCAAGGGCATAAAACTCTTGCAGAGCAAACACGTGCTGACATTCCATTGGAGAACCCAAAACTGCACCAGTTCCACAGAGAAAAATGTACTGTATCCATTGAAACAAGCTTTTGACTTGCTTCACTTGTTTACTTCGTTTTCTTTGCACTTTTAGGATCCACTTTTTTCAGTCCCTTGTTCACCTACTGCTTGAAAACATTTTCAGTTCTCTCATCTTTACAGAAAGGATGTTACCCTACATACATCACCATGACCAGGTAAAGATGCAGGAATCGGGTTGCTAACGGTGCTCAGAAACTCCACAGGGGATCAGTCTGAGCCTGTGATAAGAATGATCTAGAATAATAAAGCAAGAGCTTGGCTGTGGTCTACACAAGATGGAACTTAAAGGGACAGAAAGCTAGGAGGCTGAGAAGCGTGGAGCAGATGCAGCTTCAACTGAGATTCCCAATGTTTTAGAGATAAATATTCTTAGCAAACATCCCTCAGAGCCTCTCCTTCAGGTAAAGTCAGATCTCAATGCTTCTGATGATTGACTAGGAAGTTTATGTAATCTGTTGTTTCTGCGACTAGACCACCTGTGGCAACCACCATCAGGTTCCCGAAAGGCACAGATGGGCTTGAAGGAACAGGCCCAGGATGGACCATTACCAGGATGCCACTGATGTGTGCTTGCCAAGCCTCATCTCTGACCCTGTGCAGGTAAGACCATCACAGGGGCTGAGAGTACAAAACAGAGCAGCCATTAAGTCTTTTTCAGCCTTCTTTTGATGAAATAAGGATAGAAACAAAAAACATCAGTGTAGATGTCTGCACAAAGGAACCATGAGAAAGCTGGAAGAGGTAATTTTCAGAAATCCAAATATGTGCTTCTCCAAAATTTGCATCAAGAGGCTGAGTTATGCCCATGCAAATGGGTCTTAGCTCAAATTCATGTTACAAAAATCTGGAACACATCTGTCTTCCCCTATGCAAATCTCCTAGAAAAACAGCCATTGGTTCTTACCTATAATAAAAAGAATCTCCACTGCAATGTCACTGACTGTTGTGCTCCGCGTCGTCGACAGGTCATCATTACCAATGAAGCAAACGTTGTAAGGTACCGTCACGGCAACATAAAACGTCGCCAATAGAATAAGCCAGTCCCAGCCGGCTTTGAAAGTGCTAAAATGCAAAAGTATGAATTTGGACTTTTTTGCGTCAGAAACTTTATACTCCGGAAATGCTGGTTTGTCTACAAAAACATTCTGTGGACAAAGACAAAGAGAAGAGAAGAGAGAAACACAACATCAGAAATAAGGAACAGGGAGAATTATTTAGAAACACATATCATGGTATTAGATTTTACAAGAGACATTTAGAAGCTGGTAATGCAAAAAAATAGAGGTGTATAAATTAAAACTGGGCAGGGATCTTTGTTATAAGTAATAGGAAAATGCAGAGTGTAGTCATCCATGTTAATATGTGAGTTATCTAGACTTCCGTTCATGAAGAGTAAAAAGATCATTATCTAAAATGTCACCTAGAAACATCCAAAGTTGCAAGTATAATCCTACATACATCATAAACACCAGATACAGCTAGGCTCCTACTGTCGTGGGGACATTCCATATACTTATAGTTTTGAGAAGACAGTCATTATGTAAAGAATATATTGGACCTGAAATTCTAATAACAGCAAGGGTGCCATTTTTTTTTCCAGCAAGGATAGAGCTATATGATCAAATTTGATTGTAAATAGCTGTTAACACATCTTTCAAAATACAACCAGACTGTACTGACTACTTGCATTATGGTTGTTGGTGAAGCTTCCAATTGGGAACCCAAACCTCACAACCTTGATGGACACGGGTTTATTCTGACCCTGGCTGGCCCTTGTTAAGACGGCAAAGTGAAAAACAGTTACTTCACAGTTATTATTCAAGTCATGGGAGGAGAAAAGCAGTGTTCACTGTGCAGCTGATTAAATGCAGAAGAATAGCTAGAGTTTTTATAACTGCAAAAGCACTCCATTTTGAAAGCAGTCCAAATTGATGAACAATTCCCTTTATTGCGATGAGACAAAGGGAGGCCCAACAATAGGGTGTGGGGAAATTTGACAGCCTATGACCAGATACTTGCGCACCTTGCTTTGACCTCAATTAATGAGAATTACAAGCTAGGTAATGGAAACTTAGAATTGAAAGTTACATTGAATGAACAGAACAGTTAGAAGTTCTGGAGTGTATGTTACTTGCAGGTTGCTGTGTGTTTTTTCTTTCAGGGATTGAGGGAAGAGTAAATTAATATGGTATGTTCAGGGATCCCTAAAGTACCTGGGGATTCAAGAAAGGTTCAGAGCAGTCAGGAGCATGAGCTCTTTCGTGTTGACTCTCTGGAGGCCGAACACTTCTGCTCCCTTAGCATGAACGCTGCTTCTGTCTTGCGTCTCTCCTTGGCAGGCGTTTACAACAAATGCTTCTACTTCTGGTGAATATTCTCAGTCAGCCCACTCGGGCACTTCATGAACCCAGGATCTGAGGGGAGATTGCTCCCCCCCTTCCTGACTGTTCTTTCCTGCCCATCTGCCACTGTGTCTATGCTCCACTCAACCCCACGACTTGACCTGCCTCCTTCGCTTCATTCTTTGGCTTTTGGAACAAGTTCCAAAGGTAGATTATGCCATAAAATTCAGAGAGGAAGAAGGACGTAACACCTGCCGGGCTTCTCATCAGAGCTGATGCAGGTGCAGAAAAGAGAGATTTAGGGGCCGTAAGAGACTTAGAGTCTCAAGGTTGACAAGCACTCGTATTTACGATAGAACGGGACAGAGTCCAATATGATCTTTTTCCCAAATATTTACTATAGTAACATATTACCAAAAGCCATGGAAGAATATCTCAGTTTTTATCCAAATAAGTCTTTTTCTATCATGTTATAGAAATGAAATTCTGACTTTGTTTCAGAAGGAAGCCAGCTCCAGGAGTGAAGGCTGTGAAAACTCAAGAAGCAAAATATTTTTTCATTTGAAGTATATTGCATTATATGAAGCATTAGTGGTGCTGTTGCAAAGGTCAACAATGTAATGGTTATCTTCAAAAATCAGAAAATAAATCATACCACTTCATTTTTATAGGCTACTCAAAATACATTAAATTATTTTAAAAGATACTGAGAATCCAGTGCATCTCAGCTTAGACTTAAACTTTAAAAGGTTTCTCATTCAAATTCTGCATTCATCTTGACACAAGCAGGATTGAAAAAAGAGTGCAAAAAGAGACACCTTTCTACCCCCACTACTCTGTTTATGAAGTTTTATCAAAAACCTTTTGAATGGAAGAAATTTCCTACAATTGGAAAGTGTGCTTTTAGCAAATATGGAGAAAAAGGCATATTTATAACCCTGAAATATATGAAGTTTGCCTACAGAATAATACAGCCATTCTCAATTTTAGTTATCTATCATGTATTAATTTGTAATCATATTCTTTAGTAGAAATGGTGTTTGGGTTGTTTAACCTCTACCATGCATAGCCGCTCAGTCGTGTCTGACTCTCTGCGACCCCACGGACTACAGCCCACCGGGCTCCTCTGTCCATGAGGTTCTCCAGGCAAGAATTCTGGAGTGCGTAGCCCATCCCTTCTCCAGGGGATATTCCTGACCCAGGAACTGGGCCAGGGTCTCCCGCATCGCAGGCGGATTCTCTACCAGCTGGGACACTAGGGAAATCCAAGAAGCCTGGAGTGCGTAGCCCATCCCTTCTCCAGGGGATCTTCCTGACCCAGGAATTGGGCCGGGGTCTCCCGCATCGCAGGCGGATTCGTTACCAGCTTCCAGGATGCTCTCCCTCCCACTAATAAAAACCCCTTGTAGGGCGCCGCCGTCTTTCTTATGACTAAGACACGTTGACTAAGAGAAGACGCTGGCTGCCGTGTTCCGCGGAAGTGGCAGCGCCAGAACCGAGGTCGCTGCGGAGAGGATGGGAGCAGGTCCGTCTCAATTGTCTGTGCCACCCACAGGCAAAAACTGGGCCAGCAGGACTTCCCTGCCGATCCAGCGGTTAAGACTCCGAGCTTCCACCATAGCAGGCCCAGGGTTTGATCCCTGCTCGGGGAACTAAGATCCCACATGCCACAAGGAGTTCGTGCATGCTCAGTCATTTCCAACTGTTTGAATATGTATTATTAACTCAGTGGTTAAGGCCAAAACCTAATCAAGACTAACTATTCCCTAAACTATTTCTGCAACATGTCTTTGAAATCAACTTCTGAATGAACAAAGGGATGGGGAAATTTTCCTACAGTGATCATGCTGAGCGACTGCAGGGTAGCATATGCCTTCCATGAGGACCAGCCCAGAGCCCGTCAGGCATATTTGGGCATCCTTTCCAGCTCTCAACGCTGCCATGGGATCTTTTGAGCTGAAGGCACTTGCATCACCCCAATGTCATTGAATAGAATAACCAGTCAAGGAAACCAGAAATTAAAAACTGTTTCCAAAGTTAGAGCCAGGACTGAAGGGCATTAGTTATATTGTGATTCTCAGAGCTTGCTAAGGGCCGGATGAGCTAATCTGTTCCAAGTTGAATCACATATTCTTATTGCCCAGAACGGCACCAGAGAAGAAGCGGGGTAGGGGTAGAAGCACAGTGGCTGAGTCAGGGGATTCATGGTTGGGCCCCACATCTGCTGGTTCTGCTTCTGATATTTCAAATAAATTGTTCTTTCCCATCATTAAAATGGAACGAATAAAAATCATATCAGTACTGGCTTGCTGTAAGAATCAGATAATATGATAACAGCAAAGAGGGTTTGTAAATAGCAAAGACCTACAAGAATATTAAGAAATATTTTTTTTTTCGGTCACTTGAATGTTAATATATTCAGAATTTCCCGAAGACTGATTGTTTAGCCAGTAAACTGGATTGTTGTTCCCCCTTCTCTAGTCTTTCTGCTATCTTTTAGCATTCAGCTCTGTTCTCCTTGAAATAAGATGGTGAACAGGGCTCGTCCGGACTCCACATTTCCTTTTCAGAAATACTGTACTACTTGTATTGTCAGAGTCTCCATGTTGATTAGACATCCTTCGTTACCATGTAGTATTTTAATGTTCCATCCTGATGTGTGTAATTCTTAAATAAACACAATTCAGCAAATTAGCCAAGTAGTGGGAGTTATGATTTTTTAAATAAGATTTTTAAGTGCTGTTCTGTACTTTGTTGAATCAGAAGGGGAAAAACAGCATGTTCTGTAAATGCATTTTAAGCTCACTAAAGCTTGGTACATTTAAATGACTGGACTACAGGCTTGAAGAGTGTCTTCTTTCAGCATTACAGAATCTCAGGCTAATATTTGTTTAGGTGCTTTGCTGGCTGGTTTGCATAGAATAAAGGCCAGGTGTGGTTACATTTGTTTCTTCCTAGAACTTGCATCGTCACTAAGGCTGGCTTGGCAAAGGAAAGCAGGTGTGACAAGGAGCCAGGAGGACTCACGGATCTAGTGGTGAGCCATGTTTCAGGTCTATCCCTGGATTCTCAGGGAATCAATGTGACACACAGGTGTCCCTGGAGAGCCTTTATATTCAGCCAAGACAAACTAAACCAAATGCGACTCTTGAGAGCGGTACCCACAGGTCAGCACCAGCGCGGTGATGGTCCTGGAGCACAGATGGGTGCAAACAGTGCGGCTTCCAGAGGGAATCCCTCTGGGGCAGAGCCGGCTCTGTAGCCCTTGCATGGGAGATGGCAGTCCACCCCGGGCTCTGTTCATGAAACTCAGACAAGAGGATACTTTGTGCGTCCCAAGCAAGAATGTTTTAGCAAACTGTTTACAGGCCAGATTAGAAAGTTTTGAGTTCTCCATGTAAAATGAGATGCCAAAGAAGCTCCTGTGTCCCTAACTCCCAGAGCCTAAGCACCTGAGGTCAATTCCAAAATAGCTCTGGTTGTTTCACATGATTTTTCTAAAGTCACTGGCAAGTCAGACACTGAGTCTTGATGTCTGACCCCCATAATCAGACATATCCCCAAAGTTGTATGCTCTGGAGATTTCACCATGTAGATTAATGACATTATCAAGATTTGAAAAATCACCTTTGAGTATCTGCAATCAAGCAGGTATAGTTCTGGATTTCTAGTGAAGTCTCTTCATCCTAGGAACCTATGATGAAATCAACTGGCAAATCCTGGGGGACATTGGCCACTTAAAACTCTGCAGAGTCACCTTTTATAAGCACAGTTATCTGCTGTGGCTTTGGCCAGATGACCACCAGGTTTCAAAAAGTAGCCCTACTATATTTACTAAAAGGTAACTTAAAAAAGGAAACCCAACTATAAGTTATATGGCATATCATTTCAAATCCAATGTTCTTAGGTGTGAAATTCCCAATTCTGTGTTGCATAAAATGTTAATTTCTAAATGGAGTAATGACTGATTTGTTCATGGTTCCCCTGGATGAAAGCATTCAGTGAAATTAGATAAAGTGCAAAACAGATGGAATGAAAATTAAATTTGAGAATTTTAACCAACAAACGATGAACGTGTAATATAACTTGCTCATAAAATGTAACCGGTCTCATTTGCAGTCTCCCTAGTACCATATTGTACTGACTGGAATAATATTCTAGGCTGCGATAATACTATGATTAATCACGTTTATTATGGAAATGCCTTGTGACTGCTGACCTTTCCCAGTTTGTTCTTTATGGGAAAGTGCAAGTCGAAGTGGAAAAAAATCTAGGAGAGTCAATAAATGAGTAATTGGAGCCTTTCTTTAGCGAATCAAACATTGCCGCCAAGGGAAAATTTAGCATTGTACACACATGCTACCTACATTGTTTATTTTCAACTTGTTCTTTTCTCTTCTTTGCAGGTGGCCGGAGATGTGATAAAGGACCGCTCTGCTTCGTCTCCGGGCTGAATCAAAGTGGGTTCCTGCTCTTGATCGTCCTTTGGCTTTGTCTGGGGGAAATAAAACTCATTGAGCACCAATGAATGTATCATTTGACCCCAAGAATGTCATTTTGGCAGTTCCTTCTCAAGAGCACACAGTACAGGCTTTTCAACACCCCAAGTTATCTGCCGACTCCTTATGACATTTAATTTTAGTTCTTTACAATTTACATATTTTTATCTTCATGCTAATGTCATCATCTTTTCAATGAAAGTAAAACATACAAGAGCACAGAGAAACTTTCAAAGAGTTAAGGAAAGCATTAAATAAAAAGCCTTACTCCTTCCTTCCTGCTGTTTCACATTGATATCCCTAATTTGACTTTCAACCTTTTTTTCTCATTTTTTTTCCAGAAAAATATCCAATACATGTGCTATATCCACATTCATACTTTTTCTTTGCATAAATGGAAGTTACAATAAAACTATTTACATATTACTTTTCCAAGTCAAAATAGTGTAAATCATCTCTAAGGTGCACATTAGAGTTCTTTGTCATTCTTTTCTAGACCTAACTGTGCCATGCTAAAGATATAATTAGTCTTATTTTCTTTACTATTTCCCTATCACGAACATATACATTTACCCAGCATTAAAAAAGAAATCTGTGTAGACAATCTTGCAAAGAAAATTCTTATATGCATAACACTGTGCATTGATGTGTCAAGGTATTCAGTAAATAAATTACTAACAGTCGCTCGGCAGATTTTAAATTTTGGTATACATATTCCAAATTTAATTCCAGCAACTTATATTCCCAGGAGTGGTGAGTGGATGTGTCTGCTTCACCACACACATCAAAATTATGAACTATATAAAATAAGTGTTGCCTGATATTTTGATAGCTGAAAAATGCCATAAAATTATTTGGACTTGCATTTTTAAAATGGTGACTGTGAATAAGTTTCAGGTAAATATTTATTGTCCATTTGCATTTATTTTTATGAAGTCTCTTCACATTATCTGTGCCAATTTTGAAATTAACTGGGTTCTTTTCTATTTATTTTTAAGAGCTTTTGTATCTTAGTCACCATTTTCTTGTCACATATGCTGCTGATAATGCTCCCATTTTGTTACTTGACCTTGGATTTTAATTATGTGGTATAAAAATTTCACAATTTTATGTTGTCAGGCTTATCAATATATGAACTTGTAGTGTCTAGGCTTTATGTCTTGCATAGTCAAACTGTCTTCACTCAAAAATTAAAAAAGGAAACAAAAACTATTTTAAAATATCTATGCCTGCATTCTTCCAACATGTTTGTGTCTTTTTCTAAATTTTTAACATGTGAATCTTTAATTCACTTGAACTCTATTTTAGTAAAATTAGGTAAGTATCCAGCTACTTTATTTTCTTTCCAAAGGTATGTTGCTCAAGAGAAATAAAAAGTTGATTGTATGACTTTAAGAAACATTTAGTCTTTATTTGGTCAGTTGATGAACATTCAATTTCATGCTATATAAATTGAATATATATGTCAATAATTGTCATAACTATGGTTTTTCCAGTAGTCATGTATAGATGTGAGAGTTGAACCATAAAGAAAGCTGAATGCTGAAGAATTGATGCTTTTGAACTGTGGTGTTGGAGAAGACTCTTGAGAGTCCCTTGGACTTCAAGGAGATCCAAGCAATCCCTCCTAAAGGAAATCAGTCCTGAATATTCATTGGAAGGACTGATCTTGAAGCTGAAACTCTAACACTTTGGCCACCTGATGTGAAGAACTGACTCACTGCAGAAGACCCTGATGCTGGGAAAGATTGAGGGCAGGAGGAGAAGGGGACGACAGAGGATGAGATGGTTGGATGGTATCACCGACTCGATGAACATGAGTTTGAGTAAGCTCCGGGAGTTGGAGGCCTAGAGATGGACAGGGAGGCCTGGCGTGCTATACTCTATGGGGTTGCAAAGAGTCGGACACGACTGAGTGACTGAACTGAACTGACAATACTTGCAAAATGCAAAAATCGAAAACCTATTTTTCTAAGCTTCATCATCAGATCTCTGTAGTGCTTGGAAGGCTGTCTGATTCCTCTTCATAAAACTTATTTGGGAAAAAAATGACTTGGTTTCATTGCTACACTGAGGAAGTCATCTAACTATTATTGATGGCCCATGTGCCAGGGCTTGTTCTAGATCTTTGGTATAAATAAATTTCAATTAATTCTCATACTCAGCGAGATAAGCATCATTATCCTCCGTTCACAGAGGAGAATAGTGAAAGGTTGATAGTGACCACATGGCTATTCAGGGAAAGAGCCAGTCTGTGACGCCAGATTGGTCTAAACTCTCTACCTCTACATGCAGCCCAGGTCTGTCAATGAATGAAATCAATATTCAGATGCTGCCTGGTGTGAAGTGGCACACAGATGAATGTGTGTCATAGTCACAGTCCATCTGACTCTGATCTCTAGGCATTTCATGGCCTTTAATGACCTCCCATTCTCAGGCCACACTGGGATGCTTTCAATGACCAGAAAATAAGAAGTTTTATTCATTGCAAAAGTCTAATCTGATGTTACATGTCTTTTCATTGCTCATCTTGTGCTTCAAACTTTGAGGGAATATTAAAATGCAATGATGTGTTACTATAGACATGAATCAATAAAAACAGATTAACAAAACAGGATGTAGAAGATCAAGAGGGGTCCCGTTCTTTTCAAAATGCCCGTGAACAAAGCCCATTTCACTGCACTACAGTTAAGATTGAGTCTTCGTGTGTTCATTTTTTTTTAATCTACATAGAACTCTTATAAATTGCATCTGAAAATGTATTATTAATTCATCAGGGTGTAACTTTAAATATACTTAAATTGGACACCTGCCCAAGATATAGATAATATCTATAGGAATGTAGTTGGAAATGCAGTGGTCTGCTTATGCACTCCCAGTTGGCATCATGATGCCAGTGCAGTTACAATGCTAACTACAAAGTGGACCAGATTAGAGATCTGTGACAGTCAACAAGCCAAATCCCATCTCCGTGGAGACATTTAATTATTGGTGAGATTTTCCAAATCAAACAAAAGCAATTTTATAGTCCTAGAAAAGAACCCCTCAGAGGGAAATGTCAAAGAAATATCTCTTGGTGTCAAAGAAATATCTCTTCTGTTTCTAAGCAGAAGAAAGGAAAAAGGTTTCCTTGAAAAATTTTGTTCACAGTTTAAGTTTCATTCAAGACTGGGATTGAAAAATCATTCCACTTAGGTGATCTAAAATCTCCCAAGCAAGTGATTGAACTTAAAATGGTTCTAGGTTGGTAGCTCCTGAATGAAAAAAAAAAAAATCATAAATAGAGTAGGAAATAACTCATAAAAAATGTGTGTGTGTGTGTGTGTGTGTGTGTGTGTGTGATAGAGAGAGAAATCGCTCCAGTTGTGTCCCAACTCTTTGCGACCCTATGGACTGTAGCCTGTCCATGGGATTCTCCAGGCAAGAATACTGGAGTGGGTAGCTATTCCCTTCTCCAGCCGATCTTCCCAACCCAGGGATTGAAACTGCATTCCTTATGTCTCCTGCATCGGCAGGCAGGTTCTCTACCACTAGCACCATCTGGGAAGCTCAGAGGCTAAAGAGTCTGCCTGCAATGTGGGAGACCCGGGTTTGATCCCTGGGTCGGGAAGGTCCCCTGGAGAAGGGAATAGCTACCCACTCCAGTATTCTTACCTGGAGAATTCCATGGATAGAGGAGCCTGGTGGGCTACAGTCCACAGGATCTCAAAGAGTGGGACATGACTGAATGATGAACACTTTCAGTTTCACTTCATACACACAAAATAGTCATGATAGCAATGTTCGTAATTTTCATATACATAAAAACACATAAAATCTACATATGTGTTTGTGTGTATAACTAGAAATAAGCCAAATGTCCCAAAACAGAAAAATGCATAAATGTTGATACAGTCATGACATAGGATGTTAAAATTCCATTAAACTAGACTTAGGATAAAAAGAAAATGAAGGAAATAGTGCCTACCTGTTAGTACAGAAGTATCTCAAAATCATGTCAGGTACAAAAGCAGTAAACACATGAGCACTGACATTATGGCACATTTTTATAATATTTACAAACATGCCAAATTTCTTCCCAGGTGGAGCTAGTGGTGAAGAATCTGCCTGCCAGTATAGGAGACGCATGAGATCCAGGTTCAATCGCAGGGTCGGGAAGATCCCCTGGAGTAGGAGATGGCACACCACTGGAGTGTTCTTGGAAACAGTCAAAAAATGTGCAAAGTTGTTTGGAGCTGCATTTTTAAAATGCTGAACGTGATAAGCTTCAGGTACATATTTATTGTCCATTTGCATTTATTTTTATGAAGTCTCTTCACATTATCTGTGCCAATTTTGAAATCAACTTGGTACTTTTCTATTTTTAAGAGCTTTTGTATCTTAGTCACCGTTTTCTTGTCACATATGCTGTTGACATTGCTCCCATTTCATTACTTGACCTTGGATTTTATTTATGCAGCATAAAAATTTCACAATTTTATGTTGTCAGGCTTATCAGTATATTAATTTTGGTGTCTAGACTTTATGTCTTGCAATAGTCAAACTTTCTTTGGAAAATTCTGGAAATCCTGGGAAATTCCACATGCAGAGGAGCCTGGAGGGCTACAGTCCGTGGGGTCCCCAAAAGCCAAACACAATTGAGTGACTGAGCAGACGTATATAAGAGTAAGTAGCATATCATCTAGGGAAAAAAATATGTATACTACAAATCTACCCATAATCACATGAAAAGAGCAAACTGCAAAGAGGTTGGAAAACAAAATCTTTAGCTGGGTCACCATGTGGCTTACTAAATGGAATTAGTAAAATTCTATTTTGTAAACTGGATTTGGAGTATATGGGAGTTTTTAAAATAATATTTTCAAATTATATAATGTATATATTTTGAATGTAAAAATATCTCACAACAAAAGACTAAAGTAGTGTTGGACCCTTTAACAGTGAGATCTGAACAGATTCTTCTATCAGGGGTGGGATTGGGGGTGACACATCAGTT